TCATTCCATTTTAAGTATGATCGTCGAACGGTAATTTGAGTAAACTTCTAATAAGACTTTTTTGATATATTGGTCAAGATTCTGTTTTTGTAAAGATTCACAAAAAGTCCCGAAAAATAATCTGTGTTGACCGGAACACGGAACGAATTTAGTAATTTGTCTTGGCTAGAATCCAGCTAGCACTCTAACAATAGAAACAGTTTTAAAAAGATGAAAATAAACCTTTTAAAAATATCTTATTCAAAATAAGCACAAAAGTCATCAGAACCATTAATATTTTTATGTCGACCACCAACCTAAAAAGATGCCCCATTAAGTGCTCAGTGATCTCAATATATTCGGAATTTTCCATAACCAACCACAACATATGATACACATTCTCAAGATATTCGATTGAGGCAATCAAAAACTCTTCAAGTCAATCAAATGAATCCTCTTAACTTCATCAACATGTATCGTCTCAAATCGATAAGGCAGTTGTGAGATGACTTGAAGACATTGTCAATTGAATTATATCATCCATTTAAAAATGAATATGCTGTGTCGGATTTCATGTATCAAATATCACATTTTGTCAAATATTTATGAATAATCTTTCTCTCATCAATCTGACCATGAAAACCATCTGTTGTTAAGTATATACTTTATTGGTTATTAAAAAAAATCGTAATCTCACTCATCATTTTTGGGAATAAATAATAATTTTTAATTTTTGAATAATAATTGGCGAATTATGAGAGATAGAAAAATATGTCAATTTTTAAGGCAATGTTCAGTGTTGTTATCTTTGTGAGTCTAGTCTATGAAGTTATAATCAATGTCTAAAGTACAAAGTTCTAGAACAAACCTGAACTTATCATAAACTGATGAACATTTTCTGGTCTTACTCTAGCTAAGCCTAGAAGCACTTAACAGACAAAGAGCACAATCTGAGCATGATTTTTAAAAATTAATTTTTTAATTTGAGGACGCTAAATTGGCGTACTCTCCCATACAAATAGAGATCGCAGCAGGGTACCTCAGAAATCACGCTCTCAAGAGTACGCTTTTTACTTGCAAATTTCAGATGCAAGTTAAACTTGAGATCATGATCAAGAACATGTTCTACTGATCATGCTTTAATTTTACTATTTAAAAATTTTATGAGCTTGTGATGGTGCTCTTGATCATGTTATTGAGAAATTGATATTTTTCTTTTTTTTGGCTATTGCCGTGATTCGAACCCGAGTACGCTGTGTTGTAGTTTGTCCTGATAACTGTTCATCTTATCTAATGCCTTCTGAAATCAAATAACTTTCGAATGGCGAAAAGACATATTTAAACTATAGAAAGTCCAAAATAATTACTTATAAAAGTGATTTCTGCTTTCTCTTGTGAAGTATATAAAACCTATTCTAGTGATTTCTGCTAGCGCTTGTGAAGTATATAGCAAGAAAAATTTGAGCATAATCTCATGAGGATGTGAATAATCATGATTTTTATATACTCTTCTGATCATGCTCTTAAAAGTATATAAAAGATTATGAAGTAAAAACTTGCATGCAAGTTATTTATAATTAGAGGATGATTGAGTCCGCTTTTGAACATGCTATTTACTGGGATCTTGAGAGGATGTTAAAAAAGCGTATTCTTAACCGTACTCTTGATGAAGAGCATGCTCTTTGTCTGTTAGCTAGCATTGTAAGCATGATCTGAGTATCTAAAGTTGAACGACATTTTGAGGTTCCCTTTGTCTCATATATAGGTTCAGTTAGAACTTCTTGGTCTGCAGTAACGATTTGTCTGTTTAAAAATAGACTGAACTTAAACATTACACTTGTCAGATGCGAAACTAGACTTTATACCATCTCAGGTAAACATCCTAATGCCCATACCCATGTTATTCCCCAGACCTTGCTAAGTTGATAAAAACCCAGCCCAGACATCAAAATTAACAACACTGAGTCAAAAGCGCGTACTTGTAAGTGAAATATAAAGAGAAAATTTTGTTTTAAGCAACAATAATAAATACAATTTTTGTCATTGATAATTTAACATATTTAACAAGACTGTACGAAAATAATGATACAAACAAAAAATAATAGAAACCGAAAAAAAATAAGTTTCAATGCTAAGTTTTCAAACAGCTTAATACAAACATGTTGAAACTTTACAAATTAATGGGGCAAGATCAGAAAAAAGGGGAATAAATATTCAAATTCAGATTTCTCTGCTTTCAATAACTTATTTAATATGATTCCTTCACTACATGATAGCTAATAATAGTAAGTTTCTTTTTAACATTCATTTTTCAAAATGGCGACTTATTAAGTTAGTTTAATTAACAAATTAACATTTGAAGTCGATTTTTCTTTGAAAAGAAAGCAAGATAATGTTTGGAAGCTTGACAAAAATTGTAGAGCTTGCTTTTTTCTATCATATGATCTAAATAGATTTTATTAAAAATGAGTTATTTTAGTTAAATTAACTGAAAACCAAATTGAATGTAAAATGTATTTTTAAATCAAAACTATTAACATCGGTCAAGAACAATTACTTGATATCTAAAGAGTCTTTTACTATTTAATTTACATTCGAAAAAGGCTTAAAAGTAAGTTAAATTAACTATAAAAACAATGAAATTTAAGTTGAGCAACAAATTTTGCTCTTGTTTGCTCACAAATTTATAATTTTAAAAACCGTTACAAAATTTTTGGTCAAATTTTTTACTATAATTTAATTTTCACTGCTTGTCTTGAACAAAAAGTAATATTTCTTTTGCAATATGATAAACATTGTTGAATTCTATAGTTTGAAATGAAAAAATCAGTAGACGAATAACACAGCAATGAGTTATGACTAGTTTTGTAAAACTCATCATAACTTGGTTAATTATAGTAGAATTGAAAATTTTCTCTCACAAACTTAAAGAAAATTACATATGTAACCTTTTTTGTAAAGAAAGATAGTTCCTCAACTATTTCCTTCATATCAAAATTTCAGCTTCAACATTTTAAAGCTGAATTAAGCTAACTTACAAATTCGCCATTTTGTATATTTTAGACAAAACTTTTAGTGATCTGATTACTTAATTATCTGGTGAAAAAATCGTTATGATTAATGAAGTATTCGCAGAGATATTACATTTGCAACATGGTGTAAAATCGAATTTCCTCAAAATTGTTCGTGACGCTTAGCACTTTAAATAAATTTTTAATTATAATACAATGTCTAAGAGATACTTGTTATACACCAAAATATAGGTCTTGGCAAGGACTTTAAGAAAACACAAGTCTTAAATACATATTTCGCATTATTGATTCAAAAATTGTAAATTATTGTTAAGCGTCACGAACAATTCATTTTTGATCTTGCCCAATGTTTATGCACATGCAATTAACATTGTAAAATTTATGTAATTTAGCCTCTCTTTCTCTGTTTCTGCGTTTTCTTTTTATCTAAAGTCATACTTATCCAAAATTAGATATATTAAATTAGCATACATGAATGTACCAATTCCATTCATAAGCGCATGCAATTGTGACATACATTTGAACATCAATATGTACTCATTACAAGTTGAAGTGAATGAAAACAAGGAAAAAGAATATAATTTGATGATCATACATGGCTGGAAGTGTCTTGAGAGAAATCGAGAAGAAAGAGAATTCTTTGGTTAAGGCAGAATGAATGAAATGCGATGAATGAAATGAGTTTATGTCATGTCATGTGTAATATGACAACTTTAGCTGTTGATGCGAATAAAAAAAAAATGCAAGATTCCTTGATGTTATCCTATAATAATATTCTTATATTACTTTAATATGCATAAATAGAATTGGAATTGAATGAATATATCGTTTTGTTCAACAAGACAGACATGACAACGAGACTTACATTATATTAAGTAGATTCTAAGCAGAGTCAATTAGAAATTCAAATGTGACCCACTTTTTTCACACATCACAAGATCAAACAGGCAAAAAAAAATATTAAAGTAAATGGAGAAAAATTGTCGAGAGAAAAGAAAGACTTATACAATAGATTGGATTGACTCTTTTTGTAGTGCCTCATGTTATGAGCAATTCTTAACTCATATAATATGCGAATATAATTTAATCAGCAAGTACATGAAGCATGGTGAGTAGCTGTCTTAAATGCATTTTTAGATTCAATTGGTGTGACAGCATTGAATTTGATCTTGTTTGTGGTGGCTTTTCTGGATGCTTGTGTAATATTTAAATGATTTTTTAAATGGCTAGGACTATTATGTAAAACCTTATGATGAATCACAACAATGAATTTTGATTACCTGATTAATAATTGGTACACTAACATTCTAAATTTGGAAATAATATTCTTATCATTGAGTTTCTAATCCTTTTTCTTAGATATTTGGACTTATGATTCAGTAAAAAAGTACGAAATTAGGACAAATGAGAAATTAGGAGCAGAGACAAGCTTAAGAACTTCTAACTTCAATCTAGACTAAGTTAACGTAAACTTAATATTAGCCTTTTACTCAATTTATGCTTTTCATGGAACTAGTATCAAGCAAGAAATCAACGATATTCATTCTTAAAAGCTGGAGAAAACATCCCAGCATATAACAGCATATAACATCCCTTAAAAGACATATTATCCAATGAACCCCTAAGGGTCAGATAATAAAATAAACCTCAATGGTTGTTGAAAATATATTAACGGTCATTTCATATTCAAATTATGTATGCAACTATAATTAGTTTACTTCCCCTTATATAGTTGTTAACCCCTTTCATTCTAATATTAAGTCTGTTTCTAGTTATTGAACAATAAACATCTTGTTATTAATTACAAATCCATGAGGAGTCTTTGATTAAGTTTATTAATAAGAGAACATTCTGATTAATAAACCTCAATGGTTCTAAAGATAAGAAGACAAACTAAGTTTACAAGCACTTTCATCGTTAATATAATCGTCAATAACTAGAAAAACGAGAATAGAAAAAAAGACTAAAGAAGAAGAAAAAGTAACTTACCATGCAAGAGCGATGTAGACGACAGATTCTTTATTATTACGTTTATCTATTGCATTTGCAAATTTCTCATTGTTGTGCTCTTGTTTTCTGTCAATTAGCTTCTTGATAGCGCCATTTGTGCCTTTAATACTTTCGAATTCACAAAAACAATTGTCATTTTTGTCATTTATGTAATAAGTCGTTTTAACAGCACTCAATGTTGGTCGTTTAATGGCATGTAAACCATTACGCTGCTGACTAGTAATTTGCTTCAATTTGTCATCGGATTTCATGGTAAAATCAACATACATGACATCACTATCATATGAGGTTGGAAAATATGGCGATGATCGGATATGCATATGATCGGAATCATTCAATTCATGAAAATCATTTTGACTATTGTTACTTAATGATGATGAGGATTTGTCTGATGCTACGGAGCCCACAGAACGACTAATTCTTATATTGTTATTCAATATGTTATGGCGATTTATCTTTCGTAAATTATTCTCAGCCGTGCTTTTGATGTGACTTGTAAATGCTGTACTTGTTGTCTTATTGTTCCGATAATGATAGAATTCATTCTCAAATGGCAATCCATTGGGATATTTTGATGAGAATGATTTCAATGACGATGCAGTTGAGGACGATGATGATGAGGAATTTGACGATTGAATTGTGGGCTTGAAAATCTTATTTGGCACAATTTTGCTGCTATTACTTTTAAAACTTTTATTTAACTCACAATTTCGTGATAAAAATTTCACATTATTATGATTTTCATTATTAATTTTATTAGCAGCCACACTTGAGACTTTCAAATCTCTCTCAAACACCATTGCTGTATTTCTCGCGCTATTTAACAGCTTTTTCGTGGTCGTTATTTTGTTGAAATTATAAGCACGCTTCTGTGATGTATTGATATAGCTTGTTGCTGTAGAGTGCTCGGTATATTTTGGAATAATTGACTCGTCCGAACATGTCGAACTTCCTCCCGAACTCACTTTACAACTATTACTATTAATCCAGTTTTTAGTTCGTACCAATTGGGGCGATTTAAGGAGTGAAAAATTATTCGCATTTGACGTTGTTGAATTGAAAAATGATTTGGAATTTTCATTGCAGGGCTTTCTAGTCAATCGAGGCGTTGTCGATGTCGTCTTTATCGTTTGTGAATGCGGTGGCATTTTTGATAATTTACTTTCAACTGCTGTCGACTTAAAAGTCGATGCTTTATTCATTGATGATGTTGTTGTCGATGAGAAATTTAAGACTCTTGTGTTAGACATCATTAATTTATTATTATTATTTTTATTTGACTTCTGTCTCTATATTTTTTAATAATTTTTATTGTTACTTCTGTTATTTTTTATTACTCAGTCTCGTTTTGTGTCGTACAAATTCAACAAACATTTCATTTCATTGTTTCCGCATTTCGAAATTTTTTGTTTTCATTTCTTTTTTTTTCTCACTCTCTTTTCTGATATTGTCTTTTTTTTGTCGACTATCAATATCAATATAACATTATCGCATGTATCTCACTATCGTCCACACACTTATTATTATATTTTTATTGCGTTTAATATTCTTTCGTAAGAAAAACACCTTTTTTCGATTTGTATTTCTATTTCTCTGTATTTACTGCACTTGTCTTTAATTGATAAGCGTCGATAACAGTGAAATAACAAAAAATTGAAATAAAATGAAAAAAATATTTTGTTTTCAGGCTCAACAACTTCTTTTTTTTATATCGTTTCTCACTTAAAAAATGTCTTTTTCCTGACGATGAAAAAAAAGAGAAGAAAAAAATAATATTAAAAATTCTGATAAGCTTCAAGGAAAATTAAGAAATAAAGTCACATTTTTTCAATTAATTGAAAAGCGTGGACACAGAATGCAATAAAACAAATCTACAATATAACAAGGAAATATCGTGGATGTCAAATAATTTTAAGATTATGCAAAAAGACTTAAACTGCATTAAAAAATTATTTACAAACAAATTTAATTGACTAAAATAATTTTAATTTCTTTACTTCTCACTAAAATGGAAATTGGCTTGTGTTAAGTGCAATTTTTATTGGCTTTTGGTTTGTGTGCTGATTTTTAAGTGAAACTAATGAGCTTGTGGTTAACATTTTGTCTTGAGCGAGGGTTGTTTTGATTTTTTTTTTGAGGAATTATCACATTTGAATAAATTGCTTAATTGATACGGAAGTTTGTTGTCATTTTGTGAATTGGGGAATTAACATTGTTGATGTCAAGTTTTGATTGACTTATTAATACTTTATGTTGAATTTTATTTGTATGAATATTTGTAAATAAATTTTGATTGAAAATTTGAAGAATTGTTGAGTTTGGATATCAATTTGTCATTGTTAGATTAATTTCAAATCATTTTTTTAAAACTTTTTTAATTAACATTATTTTTGAGCATTAATCCCAAAACAAAACATAACCTATTTCTTTATATACGACTTTTAACCATTTAAACTGCACAGAAAAGATTACAAATCTTAAACATTAAAATAAATTCAAAAGTTCGAATCTCAAAAGTTTAATAATAAAAATAACATTGAGCAGAATTCTAAAAATAAAAGTATCTCTTTTTGTCTCAAACTGCGCTCACTCATAATTGCACTCAAAACTTCACTTTAATTCTTATGTTAACATGTTTATGGCCTCAACAAATAATACTTTTTTTCTGTACATATGTATGCATGTACGATTGCTTAGCACAAATTAAAATTGATTGAAATTTTTTTTTTCGTCTGAAAAAATCTATCTGTAATAAATATTCAGCTTTTGAACACAAAAAATAAAAAAATAAAGCTTTAACTCCCGTTGTAGCCTCGTATGAGACTTACAAAGTAATAAATAAAAATAAAATTAAATTGTAATTTCTGTACAAACCACGAGTGTTTAAATTGTATTTTTTGAGTGTATTTACTGAGCAGATAATATGTAATAATTTTTATCGTGAATATTTTTTTTTATCATTAATTCAATTCTCTTGAAAAAAATGTTATTCACTGTGAGAAATCTCCGCTTCATTTTCTTAAGAAGTGACGAGAGTTTCTGAGAATTGATGATAAGTCATTTTATTGGTTATCCTCAGATATTCTTTAAGATTCGAATTCTAATTTGCTTTTGTAGACACTAAACTAGTGAAGACACCAAACTAGTCAAGACACTAAACTAGGGTAGATACTGGACTAGTGTGGATTCTAAACTAGAGTAGGAATTTAAATAGGTTTAACAGGGGACTAGGATATACACTAGACTCTTGTAGAATCAAAACTAGTATAGAAATTAAACTAGGGTAGATACTTGACTGACTAGAATAGACTACTTGACTACTTTAGAAATTATACCAAGGTAGATACTAGGCAAGGATTGAAACTAGTCTAGAATAAACACTAAACTAGGATTGTGACTAGACTAGAGTGATTCTTAACTGAGGTAAACACTAGATTAGGGTAGAAACTACACTAGGGTTGACACTAGAAGAAGATTGACTAGGATTCATCTAAGAGCAATCAAAATCAAGCTTTTTTTGAAGCCACAACACGTTTTGACTCTGTAAAACACTTTATCATCATCTAAAGCTCAATACTGTCCCGCAATACACAGATTAACAACAATTTCTTAGGATATACTTAGTAGTCGACCCAAGAATCATGTTCTTTAATTATTCAAATTCATTTCTTTCTAAATGAGGTTAAAAAAGTTAATTTTTTATTCAAAAGCATCTCCTTCAATTTATCTTTTCCAATTCCTTTCTCACTTATTCTTGATTTTTTTTTCTTCGATCTTCAAGTTCTTTCAAGTCTCTTCGTGCACAAGACAAAAAAAAATTGCACAACACAAAACAAAAATGTGATAAATTTCTTTCACATTCGTAAATTGTCTCTAAACCACAAAAACTTTTTTTTTCTCCTTGCTGCTTTGCCTTCAGAGATTCAGAATGCTGATTACACAGAAGAAATAAAAAAATAAAAAAAAAATTGTGCAAGAAAATGAAAAAAAAAAATCCTACACATAAAAATATATATTATATTTATAATATAAAAACATGAAAAAGTCGCGCGGATGGCATGCATGGAGCTTAGAGAATAATTTTGAAATAATATTCAGCATATGGCAGTGCAAGTCAGCCTAAAAAATCACTTCCTACAGTTTAAATTTGATTTTTTTGCATTTTTTACATCCACGATTTTTGATAAGAATTTCTTATTGCAATCCAAAAAAATTAATAAAATTAAAATTGTCGCTCACTTTATTTTAAAAACTGGCAAAAGAATTAAATTAAAATCTAACGCGAATAGAGATTTCTCAGTAGTACAAAATAATGTCGCGAAATCTCCGTACCGCGCGACGCGTGTGCGTTTCAATCAGATGAACGAGCTGAACTGAACTGTGAAGTAAGTAGAAAACAGAAAAGTGCTCAAGAAAAAAAAATTATGTTGAATAAGGCATGATATTTTTTTATACACACAATCGCATATATAGACCAAAAGAGATTTTTTTTTTCATTTTTTACTTTATTATTTTATTCCATTCAATATATTATTTCAATGTTGTAGAGATGTGGAGAAAGAAAAACTTGTAAAAATGAATAAGAGGCACAGCAGACAGGCAAGAAAGAAAAAAAAACAGAGAGAGACTTGCATGAATTTGTACGGAATTGAAAAATCGCACTTGAACAATACAACAAACGGCACACAAATCAATATAATGTGTATGTTTTGTCTAGCTTCTCTTGATTGAGATTTTTTACGTCTGGTTTTTGGTAGATTTGGAAATCTTTTTGTAAATTGGAAGGATTTTTTATGTCTGGTTTTTGGTAGATTTGGAAATCTTTTTGTAAATTGGAAGGATTTTTTATGTCTGGTTTTTGGTAGATTTGGAAATCTTTTTGTAAATTGGAAGGATTTTTTATGTCTGGTTTTTGGTAGATTTGGAAATCTTTTTGTAAATTGGAAGGATTTTAATAGGTACTTACCTTTAGTATGTTTCATGAATTAAGCACCAGTTCCATTATTAAACTTTTATTTTCAAACACTTAAATTTCAACACTTTTTACACTTTTTGAATTCTTTTAATGTCAAAAAATTTTCAAAGATTACTTAAACTCAGAAAAAAAATGTTTTTAAACATTGAATTTCGGTTTGACAGTAATTGACTTGTTTGCAACTATTAAGAAGTTCTTGATCAGTTAGGAGTGCTTTTAAGAAGCCTCAGAAGTTGATTATATTCTCAAATCAAACTTAAACGTTCTTAATAATTTAAAACTGTCAAAAAATTCAAATTTTGCATCCTTTTCTAGTTACAAGCCCCTCGTTTATACTGATCAAAATCTGAAAGCAGAAGCGTAGGTAAACAACTTTTGAAGAAGCTTTAAGGGGCCGTTCACTTATTACGTTCGCATTTTAGTGGGGAGGGGGTATTGAAAAATTGTAACAAAATGTAACCTTTGGGGGGAGGGGGGGGGGGGGGGGGGGTTCAAGAAGTATGTAACGTTCTAACTGTCATCTGTCTTTAAAAAAAAGTTCACGAAAAAAATTTGTTTACAAATTCACACCAAAAACATTTTTTTAAATTTTCCACCTTTTTAATGATAAAATAAATTATGAACGTTCAGGGGGAGGGGGGGGGGGGGGGGTTGTGAGTTGTAACATATTGTAACAAGGGGGGAGGGGGGTGAAAAAAAATCAGGATTTTGCTCGAATAGAAAAAGGAGGATCCCTCGAGAACCATCAGTACAAGCCTTGAATGAACTTAATAAAACTTATTTTTTTGTAAAGAAAACTCGGAACTCTCTTAATTATGGAGAGGGTTAGATCTTTCAAAGTTCGGTTCTGATGCAAGTTTTCTGATTTCCAGTTAACCGTTGTCACTTGAATGTTCTTAATTTGTTTGATCAAGGTCATCCTCAAAAGTCCTCTCAATTCCATTTCAAAGTTATCCTACCCAACCTTCATAAAACATCAAAATAAATCCTTAACTTAAAATTTACACGCAAGGATAATAAAACAAGCAAATAACGTCGCTCAAGATGAGCTTCAGACATCATTCTCATAAACGAAGTAGGATTGCCTTAAACTGAAATAAAAAACCTAAAAGCAATAAATTCGTGAGTCATCGCGCGTCTTTATCACGAAGAGTCACTTTATCATTTATGTTTATTAATAAAAAGTATTTTTATTTTCCTCATTCTGTGGCATTTACATTCAATTAAGTCCAATTCTAATAAAAAAAGAATGATCGTTGGAGACAGTTTCGTTAACTGCCATTCTTTCCATTCTCTCTTTCTCTGTTTTTATTCCTGTATACAAGTTCAGTGGAATAAATGATCAAGTGAGAAAGCGTTACGAAGATGACAAAAATGGAGAAATGAAGTTCAAATACAGCTGATTTTCATGATACATCGACATCGTGCATGCCGCACATACAAACAAGTCAAACGAGAGAAATTTCTTAAGGCAATGGTTGCAGCTTTACATATGTATGGAAGTCTTGGAGACTCTCATGAGAGTAAGCTCGCGTTGAGAGACGGACCATAAGTAAGTATAGGTATGCCAATAAATATAAACACAAGTATGCAGCGAGAAGAGGAAAACTGCAAATATAGTTATTGTATTATGGATATAACGTTTTGTATTGTGGCCGTAGCAGCACTATACAAAAAAGGAAATCTAGCTTAAGGCCTTGAGACGAAACGATGATTGCAATAGAATGGTTAAGATTTTTACACTTTATTGGCTCTCGCTCTCTCTCTTTAGATCTTTTCGCACATATAAGCATGATCGAATAGCTTTTTATTTTGAATGATAGAATTGGGATAATCATGTCTACTTTGCTTTCATGTCCCCATGAAATGATGTCACGTCATAATTACAATTTCTTTCTATAAATGGCTGTTATAATAAATAAACAAAAAGCAGACGATTGAGTTCGTGGAAGTGAATGACTTAGGCGCATTTATTGCTTATTCGTGCTGTATGGCACAAACTTTTATCAGCTCTTTTTTGTTTACTGCTGATTTGCAAGAAATAAATAAACCTTTATCGACATGATTGCAATCTTTTTGACGTAGTAGCGATTACTTAAGAGATTTTTGAGTAGTGACTGTATATTTTTATGGATTTAATTCTTCTGCAAATTGGATGATTGCTATATTGACGTACTATATGGAGTCTTTTTCGGTATCAGACGGAATAGTCATACAGTTGTAAATTATATTGAGGTTCAAGAGACTAAGTTTGTCAATTAGACACTCAAAAAGATGGATTCAGGAACATTTTTTTAAAATTGTCTCATTGGAAGGTGCTTGATCTCATTCTTCTGGATTGGTTTATTTATTTATGCAACAGACAATATTGAACTTCAAGTTTTGAGATTACAGCAAATGAAAATTGACCAAAATAATAAAAAAAAACTTATAAAAGATCAAAATTCAAATTAAAGTTTAAACTTGATAAGTTTTGGCGCCAAAATATTGGTGAAAATGAAGAAAATTTTGACACAGAATTTCATTCGAATCGAAAAACTCAAATATTAAAAATCTTATAATACGCAAGAAAAAATGAACGATGAACAGCAAAGAGAATATTTCAGTTCTAAAACCAAAGATTTAAGAGTTTAATTAAGGAATTGGACAAATTTAAGAAAAGAAAAAATAGATTATCTACAATGTCTAGGGGGGGGAGGGGGGGGGGGAGGGGGGGGGGGTCAGCAAGAAAAGAACAATAGAAATTCCTGGAAATCCATTGTTCTTTTATGAAAAATGACCATTCAATTCGGACGTCATAAGTGAACGACCCCTAAGCAAAACAAGAATATTTAACTTTTAAGAATTAAATGGAGGATACAACGCAAATCGAAAATAAATACACATGCAACAAAAAATACCGGATACATTGCACAAGTCGACGATATCTTATCAATTTGATCCAAAAACAAATATTGTTTACTTTTTAAGGCTAATCGACTTTTTATCAAATTAAAGATTTATCTTTCAATCAATTATCGACTGAAAATTAAGAATTATCAATTATCGAGTAGATTCACCAAACAAAGTCAAACTGATCACTCAAAGCTGACACTTATAAACTTTGCTATAAAGTTAAATGAAGTTGAAATAAAGAAAAGATTTCTTAAACGGTAGATTATGCAAAAAAAAGATATTCTTGTTTTTTTTCATACTTTCATGATATATATTTCATTATATTACCTCTTTTACAAGACAACAAATAATAAATTTATTACCTTCTCATAAATTAGTAAATTACAAATTTTTTTGTTACTTTTCTTTCATTATTTTCCCTCCTTAATAAGTATAAGAGATTCATTAACCCAATATCTCTAAACAAAATTCATGAGTGCATTAATATTTTTTTTTGGTTAAATAAATTTAAAATTGACTTGAACAAATGAAAATGGACGTGAAATTATTGCTAATAGAGCTAGAGAGATAGATAGTTGTGATTTATAGCTATTTTGGAAGGAATTTATTAACTTTAAATGTCATTTTTACTTATTTGAGTCAATTTGAGTGATGAAAAGGGAAAGTAAAGAAGGTAAAAGAGGAAAAGGATGTAAAGATGTCATTATTCGATTCCAAAAAGAGTGCTTTCGTTCAGTACTTGGAGTTCAATCCAAATTCAAATGATTTACTGTCGAGGGTCGATGACTTATGGCGTTTGTGATGAGATCAAGGATGTGGAAGTGATCAAATATAATCAAAAAGACCAAAACTTGATTTACTAGTTCCACATCCTTGAATGAGACCCACTTCCAACTCAAATACTCTCAACTGTCATTTTTGAGAATCTTGAAGCAGAATGGGACTAAAATCTAAGTTAATAACACACGTCATTAGCGAACAACCCCCAAAAAAATCACATAATCGAAATTACCATAAGCTTCAACTACTTTAAAATCGTAAATATTGAATTGAATAATTTTTTTTCTAACAAGAAAAAAATTTATGCAAATTTTCTAGCTACCACACATACATGATCCGAGCTTATTGATCTTCAAAAATGCGATTTTGATATTCATTTCAAATGTCATTATTCACATTGAATTTGGATTAAGCTAACAAGATTTAATTTTTATAATATTATCTTAATCCAATCTAGTTGGTTTAATCTTGGGATTTTGATGCTAAATTTGAGAATTCAATCAAATCTTTGGATTTAAAGTTGAATTTTAAAAATAAAAAAAAAATGTTTTGGATTAAATCTTCAAACTTGATTTCAAATCAAGGACTAGATTGGACTAAAATTCAATAATAAATGTCTTTAAATATAATATAATAAAATAGTCGAATGTAGATCCAATTTGAACTATATAGATTCCAAAAATAGAAGATTAAAATAGTTAACTTTAGTAAATTCTGGACATTATTCCTACAATCTTCAAAAAGTGAGCATTTTCCTTTAATAATTTCCATGCAAATTTCGAGATTCCCCAAAAGATTAAAAGAATTTGATTCTCAATTCCCGTGTATAACACGAAAAGTAGGGCTTTTTGAAAGGACTTGTTGCTGTAGAAGCATTAAAAGTGAATGGAAATACTCGTCTTAATAGAAATTCTTTAGTAAAGTCTTATAATTTACTGTATTGACACAGTAAAGGGGCCGTTCATTTATGACGTCCGGGGGGGGGGGGGGGGGGGGGTCAGCAAGAAAAGAAAAATATAAATTCCAGGAAATCCATTGTTCTTTTTTGAAAAATTACCGTTAATTTCGGACGTCATAAGTGAACGACCAGGGGCGTAGCCAAAGGGGGCCATAGGGGGCCCGGGCCCCCTCTACGAAAATCTGATAATTGTTTTATTAAGTATTTATAGAGAAGAACCAGTTAATGTAGAGGAAGTGATGAAAGAAATGTCAAAATCAGCACGAAAAATTAAATTTAATGTATGAATAATGAATGAAATATTTAAACTTATGAAGAATGAATATAGATTTAAGATACAAAATAACGGTTTTTTAATTTTCGAAAATGGGCTCCCCCCTTCAAAATTTTCTGGCTACGCCCCTGTGAACGACCCCAAATGCATTTAAAGTATAATGTTGGATTTGTTCATGAATAACGTCTAAAATTTCGGAATCACCTTAGTCAGTTTTAGCTGACCCAATTTAAGGTCTTCAGTTGCATTTGTCAAACATTATTGAAACTTAATTTTTGGACATCACTTTTGAACAACTCCAATAGAGTAAATAAATTAAAGCTAACCAGGGTACATACTAGTACTTTATACCGAGTATAAAAAAGGAATATATTTAGTAATAAGATGCATGGAGAGGTATAGTTAATATTAATTCAAATATTGCTGAATAGGTTAGTAAGTTAACATTAGTTTCTTTTTATCTTTATAACGACTGAATAATACTGAAACCTTAATAATCAGTTAATTATCAAATCAGTATATAATAATTTTGGGGTAACTTCTATGGCTTCAATTGGATGTTAATTATATACTGTTTACACAGATATATTCCATCCATATACTTTCCTATCGAATCCTGACGAGAACAAATTACATACTGACGATCCTTCCTTAAAGCAACAGCTTGTCACCATGCGACGATGTGAACGTTTTTGAATGCGACTAATTCGCTGACCATTTAATTCGAATATTCTGATCGATCGATTGTCGTTTGGAATTGCAATTAATCCATTTGATGACACAGCAAGACGATTTACTGCACTGTCAGTACGAATTGTAAAGAGCGGCGATCTCATGTTCCTTAGTTCCCATATTTTAACTGATTTGTCATCACTACCAGATAATACTTGGTCCTCTTTTGAAAATATTGTCGAAGTCACGCTATCGATGTGACCTTGAAAAACGCTTACTGCTGGGATGTCGCTTCTGTAAATTGCAATTTAATTAATTTTATGAATTTAATGAAGTAATTTGCATGCATACCTAAAGTCCCATAGTCGAAAGGTAGAATCTCGTGAGCTGGTAACAACTAATCGATTACTAGAATGTGCAGAACAGTGAGTAAGCTCATTGTCATGTCCTGTAAGTGTCTGAATAGGTGTCTTTGTCTCAATATCCCAAAGTATTGCAGTTCGATCCCATGATGCTGTAATTATTTGTGTCGGTGACTCATTATTTGACTGTGAGATCCAATCAGCAGATACAACGACCGAACTATGTCCACTAAATTCTTGCAGAGGCGTTCTTAACGTGTCTATTCGCTCTTTTTCTTCATGATGTATAATATCGTCTGTATCGTCATCTAATTCTTCCTCGCTTGATCCACAACGACGTGTCGAGACTGTCTCATAATTAACAGCACCTTGCCAAATGTGTGCTGTATTATCACCTGAACTTGTCAACATTAACTCTTTGGATGGATGGAATTTAACGGAATTAACTGATCCGGTATGTCCTTCATATTTCAATAAACATTTTCCAGAATCAATACTAAATATGCATGAAAGATGGTCTGCGGACGCACTAGCGATGATTGGATGGAGCTGACTGCAACTTGTTTCCCAAATACCATCATTATGTACACCACTAAACTCTCTGACCAAATTACATACGATTGATTGGGTCTTGAAACTAGAGACAATTCTACTCGCCTGTCCTCTAATTTTAATTCCACTGGATGTTATTTTGGATTTTAGCTTTTTATTTTCTGTTTCATAATTATAATCTGCACGTTCATTCTCTTTATTTGTATTTGTCCCACTTTCAGTGTTTAATCGATTAAGTTGCTCTTGTACTATACGACAATTATGACAAATGAAAGTGAAATGTTATGGATTATGAGTGATATAATAAGGAACAATGTAGAAATTTATCGATTTTTTTTAAGTCCTTGATTTTATTAAAAAGTTATAAGAACAACTTACAGTTTAAATTCTCTGATATTAAATTATCAAACTCTTTCTCCAGTTCCTGCAATAGTCGCTTAATTCTGTGTTGATGTTCACTATCTGGAGTGACTTTTGTGTTCTTTTTTCGATCCATCATTGGTTCAATTTATTAATTATACTGACTTTAATGACAACTTTTATGATTTTGCTTTTATTTGTTTTTTTTTTCACATATTAGCGACGCGAAACTTCAAAAGATGCAAAACTATATCCACACCTTGCTTCTCTAATGTTATTAAGTTTTTAATTTGATTCTTGTTTTGATCAATAGTTCAATGATAAATTCTTAAAATTGGGTTAAAATCATCATGCAATTAAATTAATTAAATTCTTATAGAAACAATCAAATAAGAAAGAAGTAAAAGGTGTGAATACATAAAATACACGGTTTATGTCTTATCAATACACATTTTTGCCTCAATAACGTAACTTATAACAATTTTTTTTTGAAACTTTAAACATAAAATCTGTTGACTTTAAAAATATTATTAATTTAAGCTATAAATAATAGCTTTTAACTAGTTTAAGTGATTGAATAGTACAAAAATATAAAGGTTGAATCTATGCCACCGCTAAAAAAGAAGAGACGAGCGTCGAGCTTCAAGGAAATTAAGGAGATAAGGAAAGATGAATTATCTCATAATAAACAGAACAAAAAGTCGTCAAATGTTCAGAAAACTTATGAAGTTTCTGAAATATTAAGTATGTATTGACTTTATATCATCTGATTCTTCCTGATTAAACTTATATTAACGTGTTGTAAAGGCTGCAGATTAGATCCAGGAGCAACACAAGTTAATCTTCAATTTCTCGTATCTTGGAATGGATATGGACCTGAAAACAACTCGTGGGAACCTTTAGACAGTCTTAGACTAAATACAGTCTTTATCAACTATATTAATCAAAAATTTAATGAATTTGAAGCTGATATTTTTGTGAACATAGCCAACATAAAAGAAAAGATTAAGTTTAAGCGTCGCAAAGCACTTAATGAAGAACTGAAGGTCGTCATTATGATGCAGAAGGTCTTTCCATTCGATCCATTTGAATATAAAGTTCATCAAGTAATTTTCCATATCATGAGTGATCCACCAAAGAAGTTTAAAGCACATCTTGAAGATTTAGTCTTTAGAAATCATTTCTTCAAGCTTGATGAAGTACAAAGAATCAAACAAGACAAGCTGGCAAAGGAAATAACTGAAAAGGAATTCATTACAGTAATTGTTGAGAATGACGTCGATTTTGAAGCTCCACCAGAATTTAATTATGTTAACAAGAATGTCTGTACGGATGACATGATGCTTGCAAATGAAACGATGTTAAACTCAACAGCTTTGAATCTAGATAACATTAAAGGATGTGCGTGTGGACCTGACAAGTGTAATAAGGAATCAAAAGGTTGCTGTCCAAATTTATTGAATTTACCATTTGCGTACAAAGTGACTAGACACACAAAAGTCGTCAGACTCCTTCGACAAGAACCCATCATTGAATGTTGTGATAGTTGCTTGTGTGACAAAGACTGTTTAAATCGTGTAACTCAACAGAGACGCAATCTCTCATTGTGCCTTTTTAAGACAGAAAATCGTGGATGGGCTGTAAAGACATTAGCAACAATAAGACGAGGTGTCTTCATACTCGAATATACTGGCGAACTTATGGGAAATATTGAAGCTGGAAAACGAGAACAGACTGAATACCTTTTTGACCTTAACATGGATCGTTTAAGTCACGGATTTTACACAATTGATGCCTTTTATTATGGAAATCTTGCCAGATTCATTAATCATTCCTGTGATCCTAACTCAAGCATTTGGATTATAAGTGACTGTACAAAGGATCCAAAGAATCAGTAAGTATTTGAATTCGGTAAATCTGATTGATTAAGTCTTAATTTGATGGATTAATGATAAATTCGATGGATTAATAATTTTATATCCTAGAAAACTGTGCATTTTTGCCTTACGACAAATTGAAAAGGACGAAGAGATAACAATCGACTACAGTCCAATAGAATCTGTTCCAACAACCGAAAGAATGAATTGTTCTCGCTCATTCTATATTGAGTGCCATTGCGGATCGAAAGCATGTCGTGGTACAATTTATTAATGTTTAACTTGGGGTTCTTTATTTTTTGAATAAGTAAATGACACACAAATCTGCAAGTTGACTCGAATTACGAAAAATGTAGAAATAAGAGATAGCTACTTACACAATTGGAACAAAGAGAAGAGCATTTATGCTTACTAATATTAAAGATAAGAATGTGTACTTATGAAATACAGCACAAAAGATTCGAATCAACTTGACTGACTCGATTATTTTTTTAAGGATAATACAAATTGTTTTTTAAATTTATTTGCGTTGATTATAGCTTTTCGTTAACATTTTAGAAATAACGACGAGTGAAGTTTGAATATTTTTTGAACCAATTTGAACTTGAATTTTCAAAAATATTTTGACCGTTGTTTTTGAAATATCTTTTATCCGTTAATTTTCAATTTTTTTTCAAGCTACACTCACATGGTCCACATTTTGACAAGTTTAACTTGTTCCTGCACTCTAAAGACACATTTTCGATTATCCTTGACTCAAACTATTAACAAAACAGTCGATATTTTTCATAAATTTTCTCTCCTTCGAGTTATTTTATTGTGTAATTTACTTTTTCTCAGAATGAAGCGGATATATAGTAAATTTTGAAAAAATCTTATAATGTTGACCGGTTAAATATAAATTTTTTTAAAGGATGGGTTAAAGTAAGAAATCAAAAGGTTTTTTTTTCACAAGATACTTAATAATTCTGTTTTTCTTACGATCAATGAGAAAGTTATAGAGCAGATGAAATACTTTCCTTTACTTTTCTTCACACCATGTATTTTCCTTGCGTACTTGTTCTTCTTCGGCTGGTGTAAAATCGTTCTTAATGTTAAAGGTCTTACGGATTTCATCTGGTGTCTTTCCCTTGATCATATTAGCGACAGTCTTGCATGTCACATCCAATAAGCTACGGATATCTAAATAATTTGCTGCCAAAATAAGTTCGAAGAGAGTTCCTTGATCGACCTTTTAAAGAAAATTAAAGAATGGCATTAGTCATGAGTTATAAATGGATATAACGAGTTTAACATTAAGGCAATGACGTTTTATGGTGAAATTCTAAACTGGATGTTACCTTCAAAAAGTCAGCATCCCATGAAGTGATGTCATCTGTACGTTTTTCCTTATTTTCATCATCATCAGTACTTGAAGGAACTGGATCATCTTTATGATAGGTACAGAATTGAATGACCTTTCGTAAAATGGCAGAATTGACATTTGGTAAAGGAACTACTTCGTCTTCTGAATTCTCATCAATGCCTAAATCTTCCAACATTGTGCGAATAGTGGCTGAGCACTTTGCAACGGCAAGATCGCACTCGAAGATTTCATTGTCTGATGATTGGAGCTTAATTGTCTGCATCTTCGTTTATTTTATTTTGATGTTGCTTAATACACGAAACTGATAGAACTGTGATAAAAATTGGTTAAATTAGGGTTATATATACTGATATTGTATTACTTTTAACTATTAATTGGAATTCTTATGAAAATCGTCACTTTTGTTTTGAAAAGATCCAGAACTCAATTTTCAGCTGTAGCTTTGTTCGAGAATTTTCAAATACAAAATTAAGCTATAAATTCATCAAAATTAATGCAACTTTTACGATGTATTACCTAATAGACTACTACTTGATGATTTGGGAGTAGATTTGTAACTAATAAGTGTCTGCTTACCTACTTAATTTAAGTTTTTCTTTAAAACGCTGATTTTCAAAACCTTTGAAACTTTTGGATTTATGAGAAAACTACCTATTTTTAGAAAACAAAGATGCAAAAACAAGTTGAGAAACTATTTCTACAGCGCTGTTGCCATGTTTTGCACTAGATTTTGATGGGAGCTATCATGATATGCTTCTTAAACTAAGTTCAAATAACAAATCACATATTAAAGCAATTATTTCGAAATTTACAAAATATCAGAGATGCATCATTGACATAGGATCGTTAACATTTCAAATATTAGATAACCGTTGAAAACTTGTTGACAAAAAACGTGCAAAATTAAAATTATTAAAATCTGGCGAATTTGGGCAATAAAATAACAGACAGCCAGACATTCATAATTCTAACGGTAAGTACATCCACAAAAACAAGATATAGCAAACAAAAGAGATGCAGAAAAAGTTTCTCTCAATAACAATAAATAAATGTTATTAAAAATAAATCGCAAAAGTTATAAATGCTTACCTAATTAAGTTATCGACGAGTCAGGTAGATAGAATAATTAAGGAATAGTATTGTGCGATTATTTAAAAGCACAACAGAACATTAACAAAAAACATCCAGCAATAAATTTCTCTTTTTTTAGAAAACTCCATCGTAAAAATGGAACAAGATGAAGAATTTGATATATCGAGTGATCAAAAGCATTTAAATGTGATAATTCATCTTGACATCGATTATTTCTATGCTCAAGTCGAGGAAATTCTTAATCCTGAATTAAAAGATAAGCCATTAGGTGTTAAACAAGGCTTAAACATCGTCACATGTAACTATATAGCACGCGAATATGGAGTTGGGAAGTGGAAACCGATGAAGGAATGTCTAGAGAAATGTCCAGAGCTTGTTGTTGTGAATGGCGAAGACTTGACGAATTATAAAGTTTATTCAAAGCGTGTCAGTGAATTATTGCACAAAATGTTTGGAACTACAGAACGAATTGGACTTGATGAGCATTATATAGACATAACAAAGGAGATTGAACGACAATTAACGGAACTGGATGATGTAGCTGAACATCAATTTCTTGGACCAATTTATCCAGACGAAGAAACGTTTAATCAATGTAATTGTGGATGTAAGACAAGACTTATGATAGGTACAGAAATAGCAGATCGTGTACGAAAGCGACTTTATGAAGATCTTAAATTAACATGCTCAATAGGAATATCACATAATAAGTTACTCGCAAAACTCGTCGGAACTATGAATAAGCCAAATAATCAAACGGCATTAGCACCAACAGCATCAAAAGTATTTATGGCTGATCTCAAGAATCTACGCAGTATTACAGGCATCGGCGAGAAGACGGCATCAAGAATTCAAGAGCTTGGATTAATAACAATCCAAGATCTTCAAGAATGTGACATCCAGCGATTACAAAAGAAATTCGGCATTGATATGGCAACGAGACTTAAAGAGATGTCACTAGGAATTGACATGACAGAAATTAAAGCAACAGGAAAGCCTAAGACTGTCGGTCTTGAAGACTCATTTCGTCCAATCTCAATACGAAGTGATGCAGCTGAAAAATTCCAAGCCTTATTGTCCAGGCTAATGATACAAATACAGGATGATGGTCGCGTACCACAATCAATTAAAGTAACGGTTAGAAAATATGATCCAGTTAAGAAGAATAGTATTAGAGAGACAAAACAATGTGCATTGGCACCGTCCCTATTTCGGTGTGTCGATGGCAAAATTCAATTAATGGATGGTGCTGAACAAAAAATTATTAAAAATGTCCTCATGCTGTTTGACAGGATGGTCGACTTGAAGCAACAATTTAATATAACATTATTAGGGTTATGCTTTAGTAAATTTCAAGAACAAAAGAAAGGACCTGGCTCAATTGCAAATTATTTAATGAAAAAACAAGACGTTGAGGTTCAATCAATTACGAATTTGAGTAATGAGACGATAAATGGATCACTAAGTGATAGTTTTCGTTCAAAAACAGCATCGCCGTCTTCATCATTAATGGACTTTGAGACGCTCTCAAATAATTCACTAGACTTGTCTGGATCATCGGAAACGGAGTTGGAACCGTCACCTAAAAAACGTAAAAAGCTCAACTTATTGCTCGTCGCTAGAAATCGGCGATACTCAAGTAATGATGACATTGCATCGCCTAGTAAACTTAATGTCTCGGATTTGCATTTAAATGGTACATCGATGGATACGTCAACGCCTATCCGTATTATTTCACCATTGTGTAAGAATCCTGAGCCTATTGCGTGTTCGTCCACAAAGCAAACGGAAATTCCACCGAATATTGATCGGTCAGGTGAGATTAAGGTTTATTTCCGTCGTGGATTAAAATTAATCTTTGAGGATTGAAAAAAAATATTAAAATTTAAATCCTGTTGAATTAAAAAATTAATCCCGAGATTAAAGTTAAATCCAGCGGATTAAGTGATATTTTCATGTCATTTGCAGTATGGCAAGAACTTCCGTTAGAAGTTCAACGTGAATTGATGATGAATTGGCAAACAACAGCATCAAATGCTACAAATTCTTCAACCATTCCGTCAAGTCATCATGCAAAGACACGACTAAGCAGCACAAAAACGAACAACAATACCTTACATAAATATTTCGTTCAAAATTCTTAATTTATTTCATTTTTCTTTATCTTCCTGTCACGAGAATATATATATACATTGTGTAATTTTAAGTGTACCATAAGTTTTCCATCCCTCCCCCCATTTATTCTCATATTAGATTTATATTGTAAGTAAGTTTTTTTTATATACATAGCATGAGGATGGATAGAATCAAGATTCCATCAGATGTGCAGGGAAGAAAAAAAAACAGAATATTAAATTTAGAAACTTTCATCTCCATTTATTAATTAATTAAATAAGAAAGAAGCATATATATTCATTTATTATAAACAATTGGAAAAAGAGATAATATTACTATTTTTTATGGTGTACACGATTATTTAGCTATTATCAATAAAAAAATGAACAAAAATATATTTAAAAAAAGTATTGTGATGCTTAATGTGTTAAAATTTATATTAACTTCAAATTTTGGAATTTTCAACTGTAATTTTTTAAACTTAGAACCATACAATTCCTCACAATATCGTTGAATTTGTATGGATTTGAATTTTATGGCTAAAGTTTTACAGCAATTTCAAATTTGAATTTCAGAACCATACAAATTATACAAACATTTGTACGGTTTTATACAAAATTGTATAATTTTAGAATTTTCAACGGTAATTTTTTAAACTTAGAACCATACAATTCCTCACAATATCGTTGAATTTGTATGGATTTAAATTTTATGGTTAAAGTATTAGCAGCAATTTCAAATTTAAATATCAGAACCAAACATATTTTTAAAAAAACATTTGTACGGTTTTATACAAAATTGTATGGGAGTTTTCTCCCGACCTCCGAACAACGAGGTTGTGAAATTGTCAATTTTCCATAATTTAATTATTTACGCGTAGAAACCAGACAGCAAATATAGTTTAAAGTGCATACAAATAACTAAGGAACAGATTAACAAAGGAAAAAACTCAAAAACGTCGCGATTTAGTTAAATTTGGAGAAACTTTGGAATTGAACATAAAAGGTGCAAATTTTTGCACATAACCAATACAAAATATAAAACGGAATTGATCATCATCGGAATACCAAAGAACATTTAATTACATTGACAAATCACGATCGGCGGCAGTTGTGAGGAGAATCAATTGTTTCACGTGGGTTTTTTGTGTTTTACCAACAATCGTGGACAAGAAGGTTCTATCATAACCATAACCTAGACATTGAATTTTGTTGGAAACGGATTATCGTCAATTGTGAGGAGAATTTGTCTCGCGATGGGTTTTGTGTGTTTCCCCATATATCGCGGGAAAGTTCTAACAATCAATTGGTGCTGACTGGATTTCAATAAATCAACATTGACAAACAGGAATCGATCATCTCGGAATACAGCAGAACATATTAATTACAGATCACAATCGAGACATAACAAAAATTTGATTTTTCTTTGTGTATATTTGTAAATTGAACTACCTGGAATTGTGAACGGTCTTAAAATAGCAGTAGGCTGATGGACCATAATAAAGTTAATTAAGAAGAAGAAGAAGAAAATTGTATGGTTTTCAAACATTTAAAAATTAAAAGTTTGTGTGTCAATCAAGTAGAACGGTTCGATCATAGTAGGCTATTTTCAAAAAAATATCGATTTTATATCTATATTAGCATCCTTTAGCATTTACTATAACAAGATATGTTTTAAAATGCAATTTAAAGCATCTTTGGTTTCGATCATAGTAGGCTATTTTTAGAAAAATTTCGATTTTATTTCTATATAAGCATTCTTTATCATTTATAATACCGAGATATGTTTTAAAATGCAATTTAAATCATATTTGGTTTCGATCATAGTAGGCTATTTTCAAAAAAATATCGATTTTATATCTATATTAGCATTCTTTACCATTTACTATACCTAGATATGTTTTAAAATGCAATTTAAATCATATTTGGTTTCGATCATAGTAGGCTATTTTCAAAAAAAATATCGATTTTATATCTATATAAGCGTTCTTTATCATTTATTATACCTAGATAGGGGTTCTAAAATCGGGAATATTCTTGGGAATTCCCGGGAACGGGAATCCTTTTCCTGTTCCCGTTTCCCGAAAATCTGTCGGGAATATTCCCGAAATTCCCGTTTTCATACAAAAAAAACCGACAATTCAAATTAGTTTTTTTTTTATTTTGTTTTTTCCATGAAAAAAACTACAATTTAAAGAAAAAAATTATAATATTGAAAACATACGTTAAGGAATTTAAGAGTTGAAATATTAAACTCAAATTTGATGTTTTTTAAATCAAAAACATATATTTATGAAAAACGAAGAGAAAAGTATTTAAAAATATTTTTTAAATGTATGATGTCCATAAAATAATAAACTTAATTGACATTGGATTAAAGTAATTTTTCCAAAATAAAAAAACGTGCTTGAAATTAATATTTCTGGAATCCACCAACATCTACAAGAGCTGAACGTAACTTTTCAATCTCCAATAATATTGTCTCAAAAAATCGCAGTAGATTGCTAGACCAGTTAAAATCGTACTTTAAGAATTGTTCTAATACCAAAAAGAATTGAATTTCAAACGGAAATTATTGTCAAAAGAATCAATTTGACTATTAAATCAAATAGAATTTAAATTTGATTTAAAAACCTAAATAAAAAGCTTTTAAAATTTTGAATTAATACTATATATTTTTGATAATTTTCGATCATATCCATCAGTATTGTATTGCATTGTATTGTATTTTTATTTATTACCATAGGTATTGAATTATAATTTGTTTGATTGTGTAAAAGTTGCAAAATTTGTCATTTTCTTTTTTTTCATGGGTGAGAGATACAGATTAATAGCATGATAATCACGATATACGATTTAAAGACTTGATATATAGTTCCACATCCATAGAACAATCCTGTTCAGGAGATTGAATCATTTCAGGATGAATAAATACCAATTCAATAAAAGCAATTCCACAATGATTCAGATTTGAAAAAAATTTTCAAAAATTCCTTGTGCATAATATTTTTCAGACACATTGAAGTATTGAAATTCTCTCTCTATATTCTCTAATTTAGGACTTTTAATACCTTTAGTTTTACTTAATTATTGATTCCTCAAAATATTAAGTCATGAAATTGAGCATAAATAAGTTTTTTTTACAAAGTCTACAAATGTTTATCAAAAAAATTGGCGCACGACTGAAATTTGTATGAAAAATTATCTAATTTTCAATCGCAAATATCTCGCTTCGGGCATATTTGGGCATGTCCACATTAATATGGAAGGTTAATTAGACTATGATCTTCAGTTTTTAATAGGTTTGGTAGAAGCGGAGAGACGCAAATTTAACTTGAGACCAGAGTTGCGATCTGTCACAGGTCAACAAAAACAGCCCACCTGTCACAGGCCGTTACCTGTTCACAGGTCAAATTTTTTCGCCTATCACAGGTCTGACCTGTCAAAGGTTCTACCTGTCACAGGTCGTTACCTGTTCACAGGTCAAATTTTTTCGCCTGTCACAGGTCTGACCTGTCAAAGGTTCTGCCTATCACAGGTCGTTACCTGTTCACAGGTCAATTTTTTTCGCCTGTCACAGGTCTGACCTGTCAAAGGTTCTGCCTGTCACAGGACGTTACCTGTTCACAGGCCAATTTTTTCCACCTGTCACAGCTCTGACCTGTCGCAGGCCTCACCTGTGACAGGTCGTCACCTGTTGACAGGTAGAAAAAATCTACCTGTCACAGGTTGATCTGTCACCTGTCACCTGTCACCTTTGACTATCGAAATTTTTTTCTTCTAGTGAAGTATAAAGATTTCATACAAAATTCATAAATTTTTTTGCTTCCTCAAGTCACGAGTTCAAATCTCACCGCAAGCAACTTTCTTTTTTTGCATTTTTATGATTTGTTTTTAAACTTTTTTGATAAAATATTAAGTTTTATGACAAAGTTTTCCATTTTCATATTTTATTTCTTCACTTTTTATATTTTAACATGTATTTTAAATTTTTTCCATATATTTTCATACAAATTTAAATTTTTTTGTCATATTTTATCAATATTTTATACATATTTTATTTTAACAAGCTGAAATCTGATACAAAGGCTCTTTTCCTAGATCTGGATGTTCTAAAATCGTAATCTTGGATCATAAAATGGCATAAAATATTAAAACTAGTATAGACTTTGTCATTCGAGACCGCAAAAAGTCGAAATATATAATAAATTAAAATCCAAGATTACGATTTAAGAACATCCAGATCTAGGAAAAGTGCCTTTGTGTCAGATTTCAGCTTGGTAAACTAAAATATGACAAAAAAAGTTGAATTTGTATGAAAATATATGGAAAAAATTTAAAATAAATGTTAAAATATAGAAAGTGAAGAAATAAAATATGAAAATGGAAAACTTTGTCATAAACCTTAATATTTTATCAAAAAAGTTTAAAAACAAATCATAAAAATGTAAAAAAAGAAAGTTGCTTGCGGTGAGATTTGAACTCGTGACTTGAGGAAGCAAAAAAATTTATGAATTTTGTATGAAATCTTTATACTTCACTAGAAGAAAAAAATTTCGATAGTCAAAGGTGACAGGTGACAGGTGACAGATCAACCTGTGACAGGTAGATTTTTTCTACCTGTCAACAGGTGACGACCTGTCACAGGTGAGGCCTGCGACAGGTCAGAGCTGTGACAGGTGGAAAAAATTGGCCTGTGAACAGGTAACGTCCTGTGACAGGCAGAACCTTTGACAGGTCAGACCTGTGACAGGCGAAAAAAATTGACCTGTGAACAGGTAACGACCTGTGACAGGCAGAACCTTTGACAGGTCAGACCTGTGACAGGCGAAAAAATTTGACCTGTGAACAGGTAACGACCTGTGACAGGTAGAACCTTTGACAGGTCAGACCTGTGATAGGCGAAAAAATTTGACCTGTGAACAGGTAACGGCCTGTGACAGGTGATCTTTTGACAGAAACTGTCACCTTTACCTGTGACAGGTACCTGTCGTCGCAACTCTGCTTGAGACTTTGCAAGTGAAAATGAGACTAACATATTTTTTAGTTTTGGCTTAATAAAACCAAGAATCTGCATAAAAACTATGACATATTATATATTTTCGGAAAGCTCTTGATTTTAACTACATGAATTTTTAAAGCAAATTTAATTATATTAACAAGGGTGGGAATCCTAAGGGTTTTTAACTGTTGATCTACATACAATTTGGTACGTCACACTGTGCCCTGTTCCTTAAAGTAAACAACTATATATTAAGTGAATTAGATTAACAAAACAACATATTAATAGACAACAGAGAGATTTTTTCGTTATCTTTCCTTGATTTTTTTTTATGAGTTATCAAACCTTGGTGATTTTTCTATCTGATTTTTTTTAAA